AGCAGCTTATTTCGTTTGGTTCATTTATAAAGTTGTATAAAGTAACATCAACGGATAATGATACGTACAGAGACAAACAAATGTGCACAATGATCATAAAATTTTCTTTATATTTTAATACAATTTTTAACAACTGACTGTTTTGGTCTTAATTTCCTAATTTATTCGCAATTGCAACGAATCGCTTGATTTTTATTGAATAATTTATGACTTTGAACGAAGAAAACATTTCTTTAATTACAGAGAAAACCTGTTGAGTTTCATCAATACTTTTCACATTATTTTATTTAGAAATAAAATAATGTATAAACTGACGTCATTCAACAGTTGTTGGAGATTTGATTGTGAACTTTTGCTCCAAAGTACACGTTTGTAGTTTACTTATTTAACATATATTATGTTTTTTATGACTCTCCTTGTTTAACAATTGTCTGATAGAATATGAGTATGACTGTTTTTTTTTTTAAAACTTTTGTGTTTTTTTTCTTTAAACATTTTTTTAATCAGGCTAGCTTCTTGTTTTGTTTCATCTTAATCATCATCTATACTTTCGTCATCTGATGGCATATTTCGAGGAACACGGCGATAATTTTTATAGGAGACAGATTTTCTCGATACTTCTCACATGTCATTATATTCTTTTTTCTTTTTCTTTCGGTGTTCTTAGAGACGTTATTAAAATTTTTAATGTAAGTATTAGTGTGTATTTTTGAATGCTAATGTAATGCATACGAGTAATACTAATACTTTTGTTTACAGAAAACTGTACTTCAATAATAGCAGAGATTTAAACTAAAACCATCTACATAGCGTAACTAGCGGATAATTACGGAACGATGGCTGTATTCACAGTTCTGTTTTTTACCACGAGATGTCCCTACTTTTTCAGGTCAAGAAGTTCGACAAGCGTAATTGTAATTTACTGTATGTTGTGACGCCACTGAACCACGTGTCGGAACGCAATTGGTATAAATAAACTACAGTCAGAATTAATTTATTACAAACAATATTTGTTACTGTTCGTTTTTTGAACGGCTAATTTGTCTTTTGTCGGATATTCAATGCGTATGTTGTAGCTTTAAAAAATGACTGTTGTTCATTATTTTTGTCAAAATATTTCAAATTATACAGTATATTATAAAAGTTATTGTAAAGAATAAGTAAACTTTCCTTCTTAAAGTTTTGTAATTTCAGAATTTTTTTGCCGAATTTGAATCTCTTACTTGGAATCTCTGTTTACCTTTGATTTATATCACAATCTAACATGTTTAAAATTTTCTTAAATTATATACTGTACAATAGAAGTAGAAAATTTTTAAAAATGTCTTAGATTTGACACTCGATGTGATAAATTCTTCCGTAAGATAATTTTTGTAGTTATATAAATCAAATAACAAATATAACGAACACTGAAACGAAAAGCATAAAATGTGATTGGTTATATCAGTCTACCATTGTTACGTTTATCGCGGTAGTCGAAAATTACGAAATAACGCAATATCCATCAAGTAGTAAGCAATTAAAATAGCCATATAATATCTTATAATATTTAAGATATCATTTCTTCCCTAATATTAACTCTAAGGAACTGTACCATTCGCAGCCGAATATTAATATTTCAGAAGTGATCCTTGTTAGACAGGTTGTGATGCCCCGTGAAGTTCTGAAAGTTAACGTCTGAAAGACTTGATTAATTAAACTATTTATTGTGACATAATCAGAATTCCGAACTGTAATTTTTAATCATATTTTTCTTTTATTTAATTTAATATAAAATATATTCTGTCTACCTGACATTAGTTGTGTCTTGTTTCTGTACATCATATTTCTTTCTAACAGTAGAGTTGTGCCGGTCATTTATCTAACACTTTTCAGAGGAATACTTTCAAAGTAAAATAACATGTTTTCGGGTTGTGTCAGAAATTCATATACTGTTAATCGGGAACTCCTGGCACTGGGATTTTCCCACCTTGGATCTTTCATTTTTCTTACTTTGTTTTTGAGATTTAAAACAGACAGACAGACGATCACAAAGATAACAGTGGGAATTTATAGGTCTATAATTTTTTTTAATTGCGTCCTAAAATTCTCGTAAAATGATCAGATAATTGCTTTTATGTGCTGATAAAGTGTTTATATTTTTTCAGCAAATCGTATAAACTACGTGGAAAACAGATTCTCTTAAACATCGCATTTAAGTAAAAGTTATTAGAATTAATTTAACCTTTACTATCGACTGGACCATCATTCTGTTTTAATATTTGTATTCCGAACAGCCGAACGAACCTGATAAGAAATTCACTGTCTTTTGGTAAGGAAAAGTAATCATGTCCAATTGAGTATTATTTTATAAATTGGAACGGTTTCATGAAAGTTCATACATCAAAAATTAAGAGAAGAACTTCACTAAACATCATTGGTGTAGCTACAGATTTTGGCACCTGCTGGGCTTNAAATTTAAAATATTTCTATTAATTCCAGGATAATTTAAAATCAATTATGATTAAAGCAATAACCTGAAAGAGATTAAATTATATTTTTGTATAATTTTACCTCATCGGCGTATAAAATCATCGTATGCCTTTCCCTTTTGAGATTAATGTACGAATTTCGTCAAACACAAAAAATTTAAACTATTTACACAACGCAGTTTGAGTATAATTTTACCTCATCGGCGTATAAAATCATCGTATGCTTTTCCCTTTTGAGATTAATGTACGAATTTCGTCAAACACCAAAAGTTTAAACTATTTACACAACTCAGTTTGAAGATCATTTTACTCGATTATTATTCGAATTTTTATTTTTTTACATTAATTCAATTCGGGTTCTCGACTTCACAATGTAAGTATTGAAATGTGCCACAACATTTTAAGTAATGTAAACTAAATTTCAAGCTAATAAATTAATGTAGTCAAAAGAAGACGAGAAATGTTCGTAGTTGTTTTGTTTTTTTTTATATTTGCGATTTTTATGATTATCTTATTATTATCTTGTATTACCCCCATCTTGTGGATTGCTTTGAAGTTAGAGAAAGTTTTTATTTTGCCACCCCTTTATTTCCGAAGAAAAACTATATTGATGATGAACACTGCACAGACATGGAAAGCATGTTTTTCAATATGAAATATATATTCAACAAAGAAAAACTAATTTCATTAAAATCTTTTTCCAGTATGCTGTCACCACTATTTTATCTGTAATCAAAATTATATTGTTCATCAAAAGTGAATATCTCTACACTGAATTCGATACTATTTTAATGATACAAGTTTTTTTGCTGTTCTCGCTGACTATTTCATTACTGTGGATTACTGAAGGATTGAGACAGATAAAGTATAGTCGACCCCCTATAATTACGGTCCCAATAATTGCGATTCCTATAAAACTGCCAAAAGATTGTGACGGTATCCGTAAAAAACAGTAAAAAAACCCCAATAATTACGTTAAACGTCATCGGGCAGCCGAACTACTTTCCCACCGTTTGTAGCGCCACGCTACGGAGAGATTTCTATCGTCTGGACAGTATTATATAAATTATATATAAATTAGGTACTGTACATATAAAGTGATGTTAAATTAGAACTTTTTTAGAAATTACAATTAACAATGGCAAACAATTTTCAAAATGCATCTTCCTGTATGAAGTATTACCTCTTGTTTACTGTGCTACAAATGCATTTTGTATGGTATTTAAAATCTACTTAGACTGCATTCTTTTTATAAAATGCATTAAATATACTGGGAATTTTTCGACCTGTCATGTCTCGATCCAGAGTTCTCCTGAGGGGTAGGCTGCTACTTCGAGCGCTGGAAATCTGGCTGTTTTTCTTTTTTTTTAACTCTGTGTTTTTTGTGGCACTAAGAGGACCTTTTTAACTAGCCATTTATGGGTTGGGCCAGGCCCACAATGGGGCAACCGGGTGGTGAGCGACGGGGCCCAACATATCCAGACAGACCAGCCCCTTAAAAATTCTTGGGGATTTTTCACCGGTCCGGATTCGATCCCGGGTTCCCCAGAGCTGCCAATTTGAATGCATGGTCATCAGGTCATGCAATCTGGCTGTCTGCTGAGATGTATTGTTAGATTATTACAGATAGAAACTTAAGATACGAATTAATAAATTTTTTTCTAGTGCAATTTGTTACTTGTTATTTCAGTATACAATATTCTTTGTTCCGTATGAATTATGGACAGGAATGCCTGAATATGGGCCAAATACAGAATGCTCGGAAAGTGGAATACTGCCTGAATATCAGCAGTGCGAACCTCAAGTGGATGAATATGGATATGGCCGGTTCCAGAATACTATGCATATGGGCCGGTTCCAGAATACTATGGATATGGACCGTATGCAAATATATATGGATATGGACCATATGAAAATACATATGAACATGGGCCAGACTCAGAAAATGTCGGATTTGGGCCACAAGTAGATATAAATCAACAGTGGTCGGCTCCAGAATATTATGGTTATGGGCCATATGAAAATACATATGAACATGGGCCAGACTCAGAAAATGTCGGATTTGGGCCACAACTAGATATAAACCAACAGTGGTCGGCTCCAGAATATTATGAATATGGGCCATATGAAAATACATATGAACATGGGCCAGACTCAGAAAATGTCGGATTTGGGCCACAACTAGATATAAACCAACAGTGGTCGGCTCCAGAATATTATGGTTATGGGCCATATGAAAATACATATGAACATGGGCCAGACTCAGAAAATGTCGGATTTGGGCCACAACTAGATATAAACCAACAGTGGTCGGCTCCAGAATATTATGAATATGGGCCATATGAAAATACATATGAACATGGGCCAGACTCAGAAAATGTCGGATTTGGGCCACAACCAGATATAAATCAACAGTGGTCGGCTCCAGAATATTATGGATATGGGCCATATGAAAATACATATGAACATGGGCCAGACTCAGAAAATGTCGGATTTGGGCCGCAACCAGATATAAATCAACAGTGGTCGGCTCCAGAATATTATGGATATGGGCCATATGAAAATACATATGAACATGGGCCAGACTCAGAAAATGTCGGATTTGGGCCACAACTAGATATAAACCAACAGTGGTCGGCTCCAGAATATTATGAATATGGGCCATATGAAAATACATATGAACATGGGCCAGAGTCAGAAAATGTCAGATTTGGGCCGCAACCGGATAAAAATCAACAATGGCTGGCTATAGAAAATTTTAGATACGGGCCTCACTCAAATTTAAACGAACATTGGCTTGCCCCAGAAATTATTAATTTTGTGCCTGAATCAGATATAACTGAAAATATGCTATGTACAGAAATAAGCGTATATGAACCACTGGTAGAACTCCACCAGTCCTCACTGCCAACACAAATGCTGGAACATTGTCTGCAGCCAAAGTTATTTGAAGATGGAAAGACGCCATCTGTTTTTCCTGAATACGAGAAACCAAAAGAGTTTTCCAGATATGAGTCTTCAGCTCTTTCTTCTTTAAACTCGGTAGAACCAAACCATTTTTCATCAGAATCGATTCATCAGTTACAAAAAGGTAAATTTTATCAATATTATTTTCCTAACAATTCGATAATGATATATTAATTGTCAGTGATGTGCGGTGATATTTGATGATGGGAAAGTTGTGTTTCCATAAAAACTAGTTAACACTATGGGCCTTGGACTTACAGATTTACTCGTAGTGATCTTTATTTTAACTCTTTAAGAATACTATGTCAGTTATTTTTTTACTCGACTCAGTGCAACATAGGAAAGTCCGATAGCTGTCTCTTTTTTACCTATATCTATTTTGATTTTTGGAAGAGTTAATACCTGTGATTTATGTATAGTTTTTGAATATGCTAAGGTAAGGGGAAATTGTCTACGAGATCGCAATATACTGCCATCATTCAAAGAGCGTGTTATGGGAATTATTAAAAACAGGTTACCTTAGATGAACTAATAGCTATCGAATTCCACTAAAATAAATAGAGGAAGAGCTGGAGGGCGAGAATTAGGAGCATGTATAATGTAGCATATAGTTCCTAGTGAACCATTGACGAGACCTTGCACCCATAAGCTGACTCTCAGCATGATTCTGGCATTAACTGAGGAATCGATTAAGGCGTATACCAGCATTAAGAAAACATAACTTTTTCACGACGATTTTCTTCTTATTTCTCTTTATGAGAAATTATAAGCATAGTGTTGACCCCTTTTTAGTTACGTCTGATTATATTCATATATCCTATCTCACTAATATATATACTCTATACAAGAAATTTTGACAAATTACTTTGGAAAATATAAAAAAACACACAAAGACAGATACAGTCGACTCCCCATAACACTGTTGATTATTCCGTTTTATATGAATTCCATATTGTACGAGTCACTTAGATTTTACAAATACGTGTGCCGGGCTGTGAATGGCTCATGTATTTGTAAAATGTAAGTGACTCATACAACATGGAATTCATATAAAACGGAATAATCAACAGTGTTATAGGGGGGTCGACTGTATTCTGAAAATTTTGGTAACTCCGAAAACATTTTTAAAAAAATACTGACTCGATATATTTATTGCACGGATACAATTGTAATTTTCATAAATATATTTTATTTCAATGGTTATATAAAACTAGTATTCCTTTAACTAAGTTTCACGTTTTGTTTTACTTTAGTTTGCGAGTTTGAAATGAAAGACTCTAATCAAAGTCAAATGTCAGAAACTCAAATGTCAGAAATCAAAGTCAAATGTCAGGTACAACCATTCATTTTGTAATATAATATCGATCGTTTCTTCTGTCCTTCTAAATATTAACAAATAATGTAGTTAGATTTGGCATTGGTAGCTTGTGTATAAGGGGCATTTTTGCTGTTAAAGTTTGGTTGAGAAAGGTCGAGAGGGTGGGGAGATAGGCGGATGTCATATGTCATATCTCGGACTTAATATTGTTACCAACTCATCTCGATTATATATATAGAGATTGATATATGTAATAACGTAGTATGAGTTAATATGAAGCCAAGAGTTCAGGTAAAGAAATAGGTGAAATAAACAGTCAGTTCAACAATAATTGTTTTTCACTCAAACAAATAAAAATCACAAAAAGTACCGGTTTATTAAGCTTATGTGTCTTAACTATTAATAATCTCTTAAGTGTATCTAATAACACATAACGTTAAGTGTATTATAGGTACTGTACATGCAATTGTTCCAAAGCATCCTTTCTTAACGTAACTTTACAGGATAGCAACAGAAGTATCTCACGGGCCAGCTATTTCGTAAATTAATAGGGCAATCAACGTAGAAATTTCTAATATTTGCCGGCATTCGCTAAACTCTAGCGCGAATTTCCTTCAATCCATCTGTAAAAAGGACCGTTGCTATCTCAGCCCATGATTGAAATCATAAAAACAGTGTCAATTACAAAGTTGACCTGCATGAAAAATAAGTGCTCTTATTCTTAAATGTATTCTGAAATATTAAGTAAAATCTTGGAACACGTATAAATCGATTAAATATTAAAGTAGTCGGCCTGGAAGAAACTGTTTGTTTTCGTACTGTATACATATAGGTTAACTGACTTTTGTGTTCCAAATTTCAAACATCTCAACATTTTGGTTTTAATTTTCTAATTTATTTGCAATTGTAACGATTTGCTTCATTTCTATATAATCAATATGTAGATTATTTGTGGCAGGGCTCTGAAAATTCTTTAATTGTCAAAACCTGTAAAATCTGAAATAATTGTGCTTACGCTATCTTCATTTTTAACGAGCTTAGTAGCTTCAATAACTTCGTTATGCCAGGTTGTACAAATTGGGCAAGGATTCAAACGAGTACGAAGTCTGCAAGTATGAAGTTTTTCTTCATAAACCTGATTGTTAAAGACAAACGAACTGTTCGTATTGGGTTATAACCTTGATGTTTCTATTAAAGCAGCCGAGATAGTCAACAATTCTAGAGAACAAAAGTAGCAGCAATCATCCAGGCTACAGGTGAAAAAACACAACTTCTCTTAAATGTATTAAACACGATTCTATTCATATCAATTGAATCGGAAAGGGCGTTCTCGGTAGCAGACTTTTCACTACTAAAATAAGAATTGGATTAAATGATCGGAATATTGACCACGTTTGCTTTTTAAAATTTTATAAATTTTTTGGTAATATTCTCTGTTGAGTTTTATTTAATTTAATATTTAATTGAAGATTATATCTTACTGTTTCTTCTCATCAAGAAAATGAGATCTTTATGTAAACGTTATAAAGCTTATGTTGTTTATTGGCGAGTAATACTATAGGAGTGCCTCAAATATCCGAAAGGGAAACAGACTTTATGTAAGTCGTCAAACTGCAACTGAAAATACTTGAAAAAAATGCATAATTTGACGTTTACTAGAAATACATTTGTCTTCTTTCTCAGCTTTCGTATGCTGTTTTATCCGATTAGACTTCTGATAAACAATAGATATGACGACATCTAGAATTCTTAACCTGAGAATCACGAATCCCATTAAATCGATTGCAGCTTTTTCAAATGGATTTCGCTATTCAAATTCTCTAAAATAATCTTAATTCAAATTCTGTATTAGGGAAACATTTTGCAACAGAGCAAGTACAGTATGAGAATTCTAATTTCCGATTGAATTATACCTGAATTCATCAGAGAGTGACTTGTTCAGGAATATAGTAGTTCAAAGTGGTTTATAAAATTCACTTTATTTAAAAGATAATCAATACAATTGTCATTACATTTTGATGCACTCATCAGGGTGAACTTTCTGAAAAGTACATATTAATTTTTATACAAATCTGAATATTCATTATATACAAAGAATAAGTGCTACAGAACATTTGTCTTAAAATTCATTGCATATATTTTAAAAAAGATTAAAATTTTCAGGGGAGGTCAACACTAAGTCTTTCCTATAACTTGAAATAGGGTTGCAACTCTTCTTCGTCGTAGAAAGAAAGATTTGTAATCTACTTTAATTGTTGCTTTCTTGCTATGGAAACTTCGCAAACACCTTTCAGAACCCAACACGATGTGTAATGAAATGTAAAAACTTGAAAAATCATCAGAACTACGTTGAAGACATCGTGACCAAAACACTTTTCACAAGGAAAAAATGTAATCCTAAAATAGAAATGCTACATCAAAATACAAACTAAAAAGAAAATAAGTATTAAATTCACTGCGTAAAAACAATTAGGGAAACATGTGACTGCTGTTATTGAGGAGTGGCAAAGAATTCCCTAATATCAATAAGTAGGTTGATTCTATACCACATAGATGTACAGCATTTTCAGCTGTTCACGGATATACACTCTGACATAGTCAGCACAAAATCTTAAAAAAAAGGTTATTCTGTGGTTGTGCAGATGCACATAGTTGCATATTGTTACTACTGCCAAAAGTAAAAATTTCGCAGAAATGTATATTTTTCACTTTATATATTTTCCTGAATATTACCTAACAATAACTTCTGACATTTAGAATTGTTCGTCTTACATGAATTTCTATGCAAATATGTTTGTTCCCTCTAATTGTTTTGACCAGGATGAACACTTACTTTATACGTCTCAACACTTCAGCAATCCATAATAAGGAAATAGTCAGCGAGATCAACAGGAGAACGTCGATCGTGAACACACCGTCATACACGGTCAAGAGATGAGGGCTTGTGATTAACACTGCAATGTTTATCACACATAAAACGGTGGAAAGGAACAACTGAAAAAGATATAAATGAAACAGATAGAAATATATATTCTTATAGACAATCACGAAACACACGAAAACACGGGAACAACACATCTACAACGTAGGAAGAATATAACTAACACTAGTGACGTATCATCTTCTTTCTATCTTATATTAATTTAATAACTTTAATAAGAAATTTAAACTAAACTCTAAAGTGCGGTGGCACATTTCAATACTTACTTTGTGAATTCGAGAACCTGAATTAAAGAAGTAGAAAACATGAAATTCGAATACTAATTGTATAAAATAGTCCAAAGTGTCCATCTTGTAAACAGTTTAAAATTAACCTCGTTGACAAAATTCGCACGATGCGCTTAAAAGAATTCATACGATGCTTTTATATGCCAATGCGGTAAATTATGCAAATTTTTTGTAATCTCTTTCTCAGATTAATGCTTAACTTTACATAGAATCGACTTTAAAATTTCCTGAAATCAATATATGTATTATTTATTTATTGAATTATTTTTAAAAAAGTAATTTTTATATAATTAATTTACAATAATTTTATAAAAATTTACTAGCGAGACCATAAAACTAAGACTCTATGTCGATCACTGACAACCTATTGTTTCAGATCACAGTTAAAATATTCATTGACGGCACATAAGTCTATACTTTCATTTCCCGACGTAACACCCGTTTATATTTCAAAAAATTGACGTATGCAATTGAAAGTTTTTCTACACTTTTTTACTCAGTTATAACGAACTTTGATGCCAAAATAAAACTATATTAGTTTGAAAAAAATAATGAGCAGGCCGGCCGTTAGTGGGCGTGCAATGCGTGCACCGCACGCCGGTGGCAAATCGAGCGATCGGTCACGTAATATTCAAAGTCATTGTAATAATACCCACCCCACCTCTAGCATAAGAAATCTCTTCGCATAGAGAAACAATCCGACTGGAGCGCAATTACTATAAAAAAAACTATTTAAGATCAACAATGCAAAAAGACAAAGTAATTTAGCTATAGTTTCAATTGAACATGACATCTTAGACAGCTTGGATACAAGTAAATTGATAGCGGATTTCGCAAACATAAAAGCAAGAAGAGTTTATGGTTTTATATATAAGTAAACAAAAATAACTTAGTAATAAAAATAAATAGTTTTTCTTTGTAAAGTATTTCTTTTCTTTTTTCACACCCTTATGAGACAACACTAAAAAGCCTTTCTGGCAAGCCCAGCATAGGTAGTCGTAGTTAAACAGTGAGTGGCATAATCAGTATTGCACACGGGAGTTTAAACAGCTAGCGGCGCCTCTGATAATGAGTCATCACTTAGCCTCATGTATCAATAGATAATCAATAAAATTATAAATATAGGGTTTATTAAAGTATTCCATATCTTGAATCAGCTACATACTGAAAAAAATAATCAAACTCTGAACACTAGTGGAACATGTGTCAGCGGTATGCAGTTTATCGCGTTTTTCTTTACGTAAATGCCTGTTTTTCATAAAATGTTTTAGATCTCGTCTGCTATGATTTGAGGGCAATCTCAATGGAGTCCGCTATAGCAGAGAAGTTGTGAGACAGAAGTCATACCCTTCTTTCAGAGAACGTCTTGCAGTATATGCCAGCAGAACAATGCTCGAAAACGTGTTTCCAGGAATTTTCAAGACTTTTCGAGACTTTTTTCAAGACTTTTCAAGACTTTTCAGGTCTGTTAATTTTCTTTGGGTCTGACCTGTCAGATAATTAATTAACGTCCTCCGGTGGTGAGTTCCAGTAAACTACGGATACAAACAATTCTTCAGGACACGTTCAAAGCCTTTTCAATTTATTGCCACGACTTATAGCAGCTCTTAGAATAGCTCACGGAGACTACAAAATACAGTGGGTGATCGGTTAACGAACATAATCCGTTCCAAGACTTTGTTCGTTATCCGAATTGTTCGTTAACCGATTATCGATTTACCATAGGTTATTGTGGGAATTTGATTGATTCGTTCTGAAGACTCCGAAATTAAAATAAAATATATGCATTTTTACTGTGTTTATTTATA